AATGAATTAAGGATGAATGCATCAAGAAATTGATAAGCATGTCCCAGCTCATCTCCCACTTTGTTAACCGTTTGAGATCCTGTCGTAGCTGGTCCTGGTCAGAGCTGTTGGCGATCGTTCTTTACACCGCTATTGCGTCTGCGATCCGTCTTGCTTGTGACGTCAGCCTCTCTGGCAGATCATTTTAATAAATTAGGTTTAAACAGGGACCTAGCCCCGAGCCCTGGGGGACCCCTGACTTAACATCGACAAAGGAGGAGTTTATAAAATTTACCATCTACCGACTGGCATCGGTCGCCGAGGAAGCTTGAGATCCATGTTTTGGTAGTGCAATCGGATCCCATATCTATGCAGTTTGTGTAATAGCAAGATATGAGTGTATTTTATCACTGTTGTATAACGGTACCAGGGTATTATGATATCACTGTTGTGTAACGGTGCCAGGGTATTATGACATCACGAAATTCATGGATATGATCAGGGTATTATGATATCAATGTTGTATACCGGTAGCAGGGTATTATGATATCACTTGTATAACATTAGCAGAGTATTTTATCACTGTTGTATAACGGTACCAGGGTATTATGATATCACTGTTGTATAACAGTAGCAGAATATTTTATCACTGTTGTATAACGGTACCAGGGTATTATGATATCACTGTTGTGTAACGGTGCCAGGGTATTATGATATCACTGTTGTATACCGGTACCAGGGTATTATGATTTCCCTGTCGTATATCGGTTGCAGGGTATTATGATATTATAAGTTGATTGGTGATTTCTCCAATGCTACTTGACTTAAAAAAATTCTGTTAATATATTATTCGTAACATTTTTAATTTAAAGAAAAATCTTTTCCTTTTTCCCGAAATTCTCTCTTGAACATCCTTCATGCATCGTTTCTGTGATTATTGTTGCACACTTGTAATAGATTATGATGAACATAATAACTTCTAACGACGCGATACACTTGATTTGTCCAATAGCATTCTTCCAAACCAAGCTAGGAAATGTTTTTATAATGTATCATTCCCATGAACATTGCATGAGCGAACATTGGATGTATGAGACATGCATCCATGACAAATTAAATCTATGAACATTGCCTGTGTGAACATTGCATTAGTGAACATTGCCTGTGTGAACATTGCATTAGTGAACATTGCATTAGTGAACATTGCATTAGTGAACATTGCATTAGTGAACATTCCATTAGTAAACATTGCATTAGTGAACATTGCATGTTATGTGAACATTGCCTCTATGAACATTGCATTAGTGAACATTACATATGAGAACATTGCCTCTATGAACATTGCTTTAGTGAACATTACATATGTGAACATTGCCTCTATGAACATTGCATTAGTGAACATTACATATGTGAACATTCCATGTGTGAATGTTGTATGTATGAAGATTGCATGTGCGGACATTGTATGTAGAAACATTGCATTAGTGAATATTGTATGTGGGAACATTGCTTGTGGGAAAATTGTATGGATAAAAATTGTATTAGTGAACATTGAATGTGTGAACATTTTATTAGTGAATATTCTATTTATGAACATTGTATGAGTAAACTATGCATATTTGAACATTGCATGATAAGTAAAAGGATGCTATTTTATTAAAATACTAAAAACAAAAATAGGGAGGGAATTTAGCGGAAGTGCTACCAAAATTTATTAATTTTTTTTTAGTGGAAGTGCTACCAATAAACGTAATATTTATTTATTAAAAAAAACAATAAAACTCTTAATTTTTAGTTAGATTTCTTACTAATTCCATTATATTTTTAAAATATTGATTTATTTTTCTACTTACATGAACCATGTGATATTGTGGTTCCAATTTTAATAAGTAGTTGTTTTTTTTTCCAATTGATTTGGCCCAGTACAACTCATGCAGTAAGAGAGAGCACCAACAATGCCAATGCACATCCCAGGACTGAGGTGCTGGTATAGGGTCTCTTTGTTGGAATCAAAACGGGTTTTTAACACCTCACTTGGTCTCAGTTTACAAAAGTACAACTTTAAGAAAAATTGATTCTTTTAACATTGTTAAATTTTTATTTTAAAAAATGTATATCGTAAAAGAATTTCTCTTTTGAAAAAAAAAAAAAAAAAAAAAAAAAAAAAAAAAAAAAAAAAAAAATTAAAAAAAAATTTATTTTTTAAAAATTTTTAAATTTTTTTTTAAAAAAAATTAAAAATAAAAAAAATTTTTTTTTTAAAAAAAAAAAAAAAAAAAAAAAAAAACCAACAAAATATGAATGAAGTATTTATTTCCCAGCCCCTTGAACATTTTTAATTTTTATTTTAAAAAATGTAAATCATAAAAAAATTTTTTTTTTTAAAAAAAAAAAAAAAAAAAAAAAAAACCAACAAAATATGAATGAAGTATTTATTTCCCAGCCCCTTGAACATTTTGGAACATTATAACAAGAATGGTTTATTGATATGAAAAACAAAGAAATGTGTAGCATATTTTAAAACTCCATACCATACAACGTAGAACTTTAAAATGAGAATACCATTTGTTTTTCTTGATTTAAAATTGGTGCAAACATTGTAAGCTTTTAAAAATATTTTGTGTGAAAAAATACATGACAATGATGTATAAAGATGAAAAAATTGCCAAAGCTCTTTTCATTTCTTAGAATAACAACAAAACCAAACATCTTTTTATTTCAACAAAAGACTTCTTTATTCCTCTTTCATAATGCAAACTGACGTCATTCCGGCCTCATTACTTACAGCCTATCAACATACATTTGTTTCATTACAACACCATAATTTGATGATGTGATAACGAAGCACACATAAGAAAACTATTAAAAAAAATCAAACTTGCTTAGCACGTAGGAAACAAAATAACCATCTTCCTTTGAGAAACGGTAATGATGGAGTCGCTTTGGAATGAATAAACGTGAAATAACTTTTAAAAAAAATTGGAATGTAGGAGGAGCAGTGAATTTTTTGGAGGGTGGCAATGAGCAGTGATTGAAAGGGTAGCAAAGAGCAGCTCTTGGGAGACTGAAAAAGAACAGTGAATGGAAAGGTGGCAAAGAGCAGAGATTGGGTAAGTAGGTAAGAGTCCGGAATGGCAGTATATGGAAAGAAAAGTGAATAGCAGGGGGGGGGGGTTGATAAAGAACAGTAATTTGGAGGGTGGCAAAAAGCAGTTATTGTGGGGTGGGGGTGGGAAGAGCAGTGAATGGTCGGGAAATATCAGTTATTGTGAGGGTGGGAAAAAGCAGAAAGTTGTTTAATGTAAGGAAACTATGAACTCTAGATCATTTTACCTTTGACGAGGGCCTTTTAGCACTGTACAAATGTTATTGTACTATGTACTGTTCCGTAATTTTGAATTTAAACTCTTGAAACTTTGAAAAACATTTTACGAGGCTTTTTTACACTCTACACAATTTGGTTAATAGAATATGGATGTGATAACTTTTGAACTTTGACCTCTAGAAGCTTTGAACTCTACAATATATGTACTCTAGAACCTAAAGCACAATAGAAAAAATTAGGTCTGCACACCCGATTAATTCATTCATTAAATAATCAACTTCAACAGTTTGGTTTCACTTTTAAATAACGTTATATCTAATTAAAGGAACAATTTCTTTCATACTAATTATCTAAAATAATTTCCCTAGTACAACCTGTTAATTTCTTACACACCGAAAGACGACTAAAGAAAGATCTTAAACCACCCCCCCCTCCCCTCAAACCGTTGGTAGCCCGAAACACTAGGGGTGTTAAGTGGCTAGTCAGCGAGTATTATGAAAACTAAACATAAGAACAAAGGAGCCATTGAATTTTCAGTTATAATAAACACGTAGATGTAGTTTTTAGTTTGTTCATTGACATTTTAGTACATGCAATAATCATTGCGTTTATTTTGTAACCTCTCTACATTTCGCTTTATTGTCCAAGAAACTAATTAGATAAACACCCCACCCCGCCCTTGTTTTAAAATTCGTTTTTTGTTAGTATGGCATTTTTTTTTTAAGGGGGGGGGGACTTAGACAAATTTCTTTTAAGGGACATAGAAAAAACGTTTGAAAAGACTGCGTTGAAAGGGATACTTTCGTAAGTATCTTAAAAACATTTCCTTCTTCCTTGAAAACAATGTCAGAGATACCAATGGCAGAGACTCGACGCTATAAATTGTGGGCCAATGGGTTAATCGCGTGACGAGCTAATACTAAGATATCTGCAAATCTAAGACTAAGATATCGGCTAATCTCATACCAAGATATCTGCTAATCTAAGACTAAGATATCAGCTGATCTAAGACTAAGATATCTCATAATCTAAGACTAAGATATCTGCTAATCTAGTACAAAGATATCTGCTAATCTAAGACTAAGATATCAGCTGATCTAAGACTAAGATATCTCATAATCTAAGACTAAGATATCTGCTAATCTAGTACAAAGATATCTGCTAATCTAAAACTAAGATATCTGCTAATCTAAGACTAATGTTTCTGCTCATTAGTTTTGACGAAGTAGCTTCACACCGTTATACAAACGTAATGTTACGATCAATGCCGTTTTGATCCCTGAAAGAAAACTGATTGGACCACCATGATTCCAGCGACTAAGAGTTTTACCAAAGTTGTGTCACACAACGATAAAATAAATCAGACAACAACCCGGAAGTGAGAGGTTGTCATGTAATTGCAGGCTGGGTTTAAGCCACCCCCCCCCCCCCAACAAAAAAAAATGACAAGAGTGAGTGGGAGATAACATAACAAGGGGAGAGGAGGAAATGTCAGGGGTACCAAGTACCAAGCGATAGTGAAATACGTCATAAGCGATATAAGGGTGAAAAATATGTGTGATTCAAAGTGTTACGATATAAAAAGTATTGAAGGAATAAAATAAAAACTTGCAGTTAATATTCTATGTTATTTAAGAGAACAAAAAAGTAAACAAAAAATAAGGAGAAAGATCAGTTGAAAGTTACCCCCCCCCCCGAAAAGCTCTTATGGCATTCAATTCTGCATTATGGTAACTCGAGTATAGTATAATCTGTATAATATCATTGCACTTGTATTTGGTTTTAAGTATCCACATGGAAACCAGCACGATTGACATTTCCTGTTGCACAGTAAACCAAAACTACAGGATGCTTAAAATGATAGGGATGTCACGTGACGACGTTAAGCTTCTGTGGCATGTTGAGTATACCGTATGGGCGTAAGTGATAGATGAAAAACTCCAGGTCGTACATTTGAGTCGGAGAAACGTAGTGGAAGGAAATGGCGTAGTCGCTGATATTTTCAACACCCTGTGGAGAGCGGAGAAAAAATTATTATAACGATGTGTCGAAAAGAAAATGAACGATAACGTCTAAATTAATTGAAAGAGTGAACAAATGATGTGATTTGACAGTCTGAACACATGATGTGATTTGACAGTCTGAACACATGATGTGATTTCAAAGTCTGAACAAATGATGTGATTTCAAAGTCTGAACAAATGATGTGATTTTAATGCTGGCATCTCAAATAATTTGAAAGTAATTAATTTGACTAAAACATTAACTCTTGTTTGTAATGAAAATTTCGGGTGGTACTATCAGAGGCAGTGACGAAGCGAAATCGGTGGGGGTGGTGGGCGCAGTTGTTTCCTATTTGCTAGACTACTAATGTGCAAAATTCTCCTCATCCTCCACATCCTCATGTGCCTTAGTCCTTGGACCGTTGGGGCGCCACAGATGACATGTGAACCATCCTCCTCCATTCCTCTCTGTCTTCAAGACTACGCACTGCATCGCCCAGTGTTAGTCCTGTCCACTCTTTGATGTTATCCTCCCACCTTTTTCTTTGTCTTCCTCTTCTTCTCCCTCCTCTTGTGGTGCCCTGAAATATTTCTTTGGCAAGCCCTTGTTTCCTTTTTACAAGTTTTTGTAATTTGCGTTTTTTTCACAGTCATCAGTAGGTCATCGTACTGCCCAATGGCCTGACAAACCCTTTCTTTCACTGTATCATTGGAGATATGGTCCCTATAGCAGATGCCAAAAATGCTTCTGAAGCATCTCATCTCCATCGCCTTTATTTTTCTTTCAAGATCGGCTGTTAATGTCCAGGATTCGCAGGCATACAGGAAAATGGAGAAGACTAATGAGCGCATCAGCCTGATTTTGGTGCTGTGGGCTATATTTTTGTAATTCCATATTTTCTTGAGGTTTTTTAGTGCTGTTATAGTCTGCGCAATCCTAGACATCAGTTCAAGATTGGAGCCTTCTTCTGAGACTATTGTTCCTAGGTATTTGAAGCAGCCTACAGTCTCTTATCTTTCCTCCCCGACCTTAATTTCAGTGGTGATGCCTGTGGTATTATTTGTCATCAGTTTTGTCTTTTCGGCACTGATTAGCATGCCGTAGGACGACGAGGTCTTGTCAAGAAGTTTTACCAGGTTTGCTAGCTCTTCTTCGTTTCCAGCCAGCACGTCTATGTCGTCCGCCAAGCGTAGGTTGGTGATTGTTCTGTCACCAATGCTGACTGTCCCTTCATGCGCTTCCAGAGCATTTGACATAATTATCTCTAGGAAGATGTTGAATGGAGTGGGTGAGAGCAGGCAGACTTGTCGTACTCCAACAGTGATCTTGAACCATTCTCCGATGTTGTTGTTGAGGAAGAATGCACTGGTGGGCTTATCATAGAGCAAAATGGGCTTTGAATAAAGTTTATCGATGATTAATGAGTTTCAATTGTTCAAATGTTAGGCAGATTTGAATTTTCTTTACGCCGACTCCAAACCCTCTAGGTACAGCTTTTGCTTGCTATTTTCAAAAAGCCTATATTTTTTTTTTCCATAAAAAATTGTTCCTATAGATATGAGGATATGAGGATAAGAGGATATGAGGATATAAGGTAATAAGCTAAAGTCTTCGTGGTGTGTTTCTAATACAATCATTGAAAATTCGTCTCTTAAAATGTTTTCTAATTATTAACAAAAAATAATAATAATTATTTGTAACTAATAATTCTTTTGGGGACCATCTTCTTTAAGATGTGTCCATTTATTTCGGCGCCTGCTGTGAAATACCATTCCACTTCATATCGGGACCAGGAACCTGTAACATTTGATTTGACCTACCGGATCATAAAAAAAAGTTTTTGTACAAATTAATAAAGTAATGACGCTTCAATTAAAAAAAACCATTAATGAAAATGACGTTTTAAAACCGTAATTTTTTTTAAAAATAATAAAACTTAAGACAAAATAATTCAGATGTAAGGATTACGACCATTTGAGTTTTATAGTTGAGTTTTATAGTTGAGTTTTATAGTTGAGTTTTATAGTTGAGTTTTATAGTTGAGTTTTATAGTTGAGTTTTATAGTTGAGTTTATAGTTGAGTTTTATAGTTGAGTTTTATAGTTGAGTTTTATAGATCTGAGTGAGACAGAGTTAAAAAGAGATGAGTGAGACAGAGTGAGAAAATATAGAGAAAAGCGTGTGTAGATGGGGTAAATATGAAGTTTAGAGATCTGAAAGAAAGTGAGTGTGTGTGTGTGTGTGTGGGATAGAGATAGAAAGAGAGAGAGATAGAGAGAGAGAGGGAGAGAGAAAGAACGAGATGTAAATAGAGAGAGAGGGAGAGAGATAGTAGGAGGGAAATAGAGAGAGATTTGAATGACGTATTAGTGTTACCACCTCAGGGTCAGCCATCGAGGTGGCAAGTGGTTCCCAGTCGGCAGCGTATTGGCCCAGTGCCTCAAGTTCAAGGCTTTTTTACCTTCTCCATTTCTATCATACTGTGGCCCACATCACCTGTCCAGCAAACTTTCTCAACAATCCATGTAATGTTTGAAGACCACTAAAAAAAGAAAAAGAAAAAGAAAAGAAAACTCCATGATATTGAGCGGTGTCGGCTACGATTGTTGTTTGGTAGTTGATTGTTTCAACCTATGAGCGCTAACACAGGGAGCCGGAGATCTCTGCAACGCTTATGGTCACAGTCAAAGCATGTTTCAAGCTTGAAAATCGTGCCGGATCGTCGACCGATTCCGAAATATATCAAGTTGAAATATATGGCCAAGATGTGCAGGGAACAAAGCGAAAACGCAAATACATTTTTACCCAGAAGGTATAGCCAGTTTAGTGCATTCTGTAGGTCATCACGTTAAAGTAGGTCATCTCTCCAATCTTGCATTTTTTTTTTCAAAACTATTTTGTTTCTTAAATAATAACAGAATTCAGAGTAGTATAAATGTCAGTAGTATCAATGTAATTATCAACTAATATTTATGAAATAAAAAACAGATAAACATTATTCGACTATCATTGAGGAAGATAAGAAGGGTCTTTGGGCAAGATATGAAGGGTCTTTGGGCAAGATAGGATAGGGCCTTTGAGCAAGATAGGATAAGGTCTTTGAGCAAGATAGGATAGGGTCTTTGAGCAAGATATGAAGGGTCTTTGAGCAAGATATGAAGGGTCTTTGAGCAAGATATGAAGGGTCTTTGAGCAAGATAGGATAGGGCCTTTGAGCAAGATAGGATAGGATCTTTGAGCACGATAGGATAGGGCCTTTGAGCAAGATATGATAGGGCCTTTGAGCAAGATAGGATAGGGCCTTTGAGCAAGATAGGATAGGGCCTTTGGGCAAGATAGGATAGGGCCTTTGGGCAAGATAGGATAGGATCTTTGAGCAAGATAGGATAGGGTCTTTGGGCAAGATATGAAGGGCCTTTGGGCAAGATAGGATAGGGCCTTTGAGCAAGATAGGATAGGGCCTTTGAGCAAGAAAGGAGAGGGTCTTTGGGCAAGATAAGATAGGATCTTTGAGCTAGTTGAGTTTTATAGTTGAGTTTTATAGTTGAGTTTTATAGTTGAGTTTTATAGTTGAGTTTTATAGTTGAGTTTTATAGTTGAGTTTTATAGTTGAGTTTTATAGTTGAGTTTTATAGTTGAGTTTTATAGTTGAGTTTTATAGTTGAGTTTTATTGTTGAGTTTTATAGTTGAGTTTTATAGTTGAGTTTTATAGTTGAGTTTTATAGTTGAGTTTTATAGTTGAGTTTTATAGTTGAGTTTTATAGTTGAGTTTTATAGTTGAGTTTTATAGTTGAGTTTTATAGTTGAGTTTTATAGTTGAGTTTTATAGTTGAGTTTAATAGTTGAGTTTTATAGTTGAGTTTTATAGTTGAGTTTTATAGTTGAGTTTTATAGTTGAGTTTTATAGTTGAGTTTTATAGTTGAGTTTAAAAGTTGAGTTTTATAGTTGAGTTTTATAGTTGAGTTTTATAGTTGAGTTTTATAGTTGAGTTTAATAGTTGAGTTTAATAGTTAAGTTTTATAGTTGAGTTTTATAGTTGCGTTTTACAGTTGAGTTTTACAGTTGAGTTTTATAGTTGAGTTTTACAGTTGAGTTTTACAGTTGAGTTTTATAGTTGAGTTTTATAGTTGAGTTTTATAGTTGAGTTTAATAGTTGAGTTTTATAGTTGAGTTTTATAGTTGAGTTTTATAGTTGAGTTTATAGTTGAGTTTTATAGTTGAGTTTTATAGTTGAGTTTTATAGTTGAGTTTTATAGTTGAGTTTTATAGTTGATTTTTATAGTTGAGTTTTACAGTTGAGTTTTATAGTTGAGTTTTATAGTTGAGTTTTACAGTTGAGTTTTATAGTTGAGTTTTATAGTTGAGTTTTATAGTTGAGTTTTATAGTTGAGTTTTATTAAAAATTCAATTTAGCCTTCTTAACAGTTAAAAAAGCCACTGGTAACAATATGAAGATGATCTGATTGCATAATGTTTTAAAGTTGTCTTTGTTTTTCAAAAGATAGACATTACTCAGAGAGAGAGTCAGAAGCTTTTAAGTGGAAGGCGTCCAAAATCCGCAGCACGGTTCAGACATGCACTCAAAAACACTTACCGCTCTCCCATTCTCAAAATCGTAGTCGAAGAAATTTTTGGGGAACTGGCCCCTGAGGTAGTTCTGTGGCGTCCAATTGTGAAAGCGTGTCCCGTTCTGTGCGTCCAGGCTTGGCTTTAAGATGACCCCCAGGTTTTCTAGACACCATCCGAATGCCACATCCTCGTTTTTAGACTCTTTTTTACACAGGGAGTCATTTTGAGAACCCCTCTGCCCATACCTCCTTAGGGCCTCTTTGCTGATGACGTATCCCGGCCCGCCAGCGGCGTAGCCCTGTTTGACGAATAGTCTGTAACGCTGCCCAAAGTACACCGGTTTTTCGGTGTCTTCACCTGACAGGAAGTAGCGGAGGTTTTCCATGATGACGTAGGTGTCGTCGTCCGCTTTGAGGAACCAGTCTGCGTCATCAAAATGGCGGTCATAAAGATATTTGAAGGCCTGTTGGAGAAGATGTCGTTTAGGAGGAGGGAGATTTAAATTTTGCTAAGAGATTATTGTTTCTTTTACATGTAATATGTGTTATACATTTTGTTACGTAATAGATAATTGTCACGGTGCTCATTGTAAATTTGTAAATTACTAATGGGAGACAACTGATATAATTAATATTCCCCGTGCATGCAAAGAATTGGGACATATATATTGCAACAAGATAGGAACACATTCTTAAGGATACGAATTTATTGTCTAATGAACAATTATCCGGAAATAGAAAAAATACCTAAACTCAAAGAAAAATTCTCTGAACATATATAGAAAAGCCAATCAGAAGGTTTGATTGGGTCATGTGAGAGCAACAGTTTTGGAATGACCAATCAGATAGTTTGATTGGGTCAAGTGAGAGCAACAGTTTTGGAATGACCAATCAGATAGTTTGATTGGGTCAATTGAGAGCAACAGTTTTGGAATGACCAATCAGAGGTGTTGATTGGGTCATGTGAGAGCAACAGTTTTGGAATGACCAATCAGAGGTTTTGATTGGGTAATGTGATAAGCATCCGTTTTAGACTGAGTGATCAGAGTGTTTGAATGGGTCACGTTAGAGAAACAGTTTTAGAAAAACAGCCAAGATAAAAAATCGGAGATCGTGGATCAATATTCTGTACATAATATGTTAAGGTGTAAGAAATGTTTTAAAACTATTAAGGAATTTGTGACATGGGTCGTCGGGTGATTCGGTGGATATATTTTATTTCTGTGAAATTGATACACTTCTTGTTTCGAGTACTGTGATCGTTTCAAATGTATCAAACACTGTGTGAGCCCGTAAACATCTCTGTTTTTATAACAGTGGCAGTAATATAAAATTATTGCTTTTCTTTTTATCAAATAATTTTACAAAACTGTATCAACCTGGCGCTAAATGTTCGAGTAACATGAAAAACAGCACTAGAGAGGCTTAAGAAAATGTGGAATCACAAAAGTAAAGAATTGGGCACCAAAATCAGGCTGATGCGCTTATTAGTCCTCTCCATTTTCTCGTATGCCTGTGAGCCTTGGACATTAATAGCAGAACTTGAAAGGAAAATAAAGGCGATGGAGATGAGATGTTTCTTGGAATCTGCTTTAGAGACCATATCTCTAAAGAACAAGTGAAAGAAAGGTTTCGTCACGCAATTGGGCAATATGATGACCTCCTGGTAACTGTAAAAAAGTGAAAACTGGGATAGTATTGCCACGTGACAGTACAACACGGGCTCACCAAAGAAATCATGCAGGGCACAACAAGAGGAGGGAGAAGAAGAGGAAGACGGAAAAATGATGGGCAGATAACATCAAAGAGTGGAAGGGACTAAAACTAGGCGATGCTCTGCGAAGTGCAGAGAGGAATGAAAGAGGATAGTTTTTGTGTCATCTGTGGCGCCCTAACGGTCCCAGGACTAAGAGAAATGATGATTATGATTGTGATGAACATCAATGAACGAATTCTGAACGCTTTTGTGACATCAATCGATTTTTCTGTCGATGGGCCACTCGTATTTGAACCACAAAAAAAAAAAAAAAAAAAAAAAAAAAAAAAAAAAAAAAAAAAAAAAAAAAAAAAAAAAAAAAAAAAAAAAAAAAAAAAAAAAAAAAAAAAAAAAAAAAAAAATCGAAGTAAAATCGATGATGAAGAAAATCGGTTAAAATAATTTCAAAGCAAGATTAGAGCCACTCAATCAGTGCCTGGGATATTAAAAGACAATTCAATGATGGATAACTATTACACGTAAGCCTACAAAACTATAACTGAAGTCCTCATAAACAATCTTAAATAGAGAATATAACTGAAGTCCTCACATAAACTATCTTAAATAGAGACTATGATTGAGTAGTGTATTTATAAAATGGAAAATTTGATTCAATAAATTTATTTAGTTTTATAGAGACCCCAAATTACCACCATCTTAACAATCTAAATAGGTTTCATTTTATTTGATGATTAACATAGCAAAGCCTTTAAATTTTTGGTGTTTTTTCTTAGTACATTCTCATCGCCCTTTGTCCGTTTTTTTTAATTTGAGTTGGGGCTGTGGGGTGTAACGCGGGGAAGAATAGTCGACGGAATGTCAGCAAAGTGTGAGGTCTACTGGATGTACATGTTGTGGGGGGTCTTTATGACGTCTGTGACAGTATAAAAAATAATAGACGAATCTGAAGCTTTCAAACCAATTTCAGGGAATTTAAAAAGGTAAATAAACGCAAAGCAAAATTTAAAGGAGAGGATACTGCTGTAACATTAGGTCACCTGCATTGTTTTCGCAGTGAGATGTTGCCTCCCTTCACTAGCATTAACTCCTATGGTAGGAAAGCTGTCATTTCTCTCAGAGCTGATGAACACGACAACATTGCATCTCTTGGTCCAGGTGTTCTTCACATGAATCGCCTTGCTGTCGGGAAAGATACTCAGATATGATTGTTCTGCACATTATTTGTAACTTCGCTAAATAAGAAAGTAAAAAAAAATAAAGATATTTCTAAACATGACCCGCTACTCTGTCATCAAAAATTTTTAAGAAATGTATAATTCTTTACAATAATCGAAATTCTGTCTATTAAACATATGACAAGGAAATAAGGGGAGAGACTGCAATCAGGTTAGCACAATATAAAATGATTAAAACAAAGTAGGGCTAAACCTGAAAAAGGAACGCAAACAAAACAACGAACGTGTCGGCAGGAAGCCTTCGTCAGCGAACAAAAACAACTTCAAAATTGTATTAAAAAAAGGAGCACTTAGCTTAAAAGTAGTATCCGTGGGCAGCTAATGACTTTTTCATTCAGAATTCAGTGTAGAATTCATTGGCTGCCCACGGATATTACTTCTAAGCTTAGTGCTTTGTTAAAATTTTTATACTTTTTTCTGTTGTTTTCTTCGCTGACGAAGGCTTCCTGTCTATTCGTTCGTTGTTTTGTTGCGTTCCTTTTTTTTCAGGTTTAACCCTACTTTGTTTTACTCATTTCATAAAAATATGACAAAATGCCATGACACCTTTTCCCATGAATTCAGGAATCGCAATGCTGTCAGTTCAGATTATGAGAAAGTGATATTTTTTATTAAATCACAATTATTTCATTAAAAAAACATGAAACTTATAATTCTTTACATGAATCACAATTTCGCCAGTAATAATCTAAGAGAAAGTGATACTTCTTTTCATAAAGCGCACTCTTTTTCTTTCAAAATTAAAGAACGTGATACTTTTTAAGATTTTAATTGGGTGTTGTTTTTACTATGTGAAGCGAGGTTATTTCCCCCTTAACATTTTTTACATCCATCAAAGCAGTTTAAAGATACCCAAATTAAATTTGTTATAATCTGTTCTAATGCATCGTCTTAGTTAAACCATTTTTTTTCTATGTGGCTTTGTAATTGTTACATTTAACTCAAAATAATTTCACAAATTTACAAAGATGCAATTTCTTTTATAACTATACTTTGTTTATTGTTCTTATCATCATATTTTGTTATCGTCTTTATAGTAATTATCTCAGTTTTATTATTTGAAATTTAACCCCTTTATAACTCGAAGTATTTATAAGATGCTAGTCAACAATACGTTGTGTGTGTTTTTTTTCCTGTGTAATGTGTTAAGTCTGATAAATGTGAATTGTAGACTGATGAGTCTGGTGTTGTGTGTGTAGTAGAGAGTGTTTGTTGACTGCTATGTGTAAAATGGTAAGTGTTGACTTACTTGTCTAAGTTGCTCGGAGATGTCAATATCCAGCACGCAACCCGGACAGTTTTAAATAGATTTTTGGCGATAACATCATTGTCTGAAAAAATTACGAGTTTCTTCATTTGAGTTCAAAATAAAAATCAAGGGATCTAAGTATCAAAGTCTTTAGTTTCCCTGGACACACTTAGTTATGGGCCCACATATATGTCCCTGGACTCACTTAGTTTATGGGCCAATAACTATGTCGCAGGACTCACTTAGTTTATTGCCCAATATCTATGTCCCACGACTCACTTAGTTTTGGACCCATTTCTATGTTCCGGGACTCACTTAGTTTATAAGCCCATATCTATGTACCTAGACTCACTTAGTTTATTGGTCAATATGTATGTCCAATATTTTCTTTGGGTATCGTGTGAAAACAAATGTTAGTAGCTCCTGACAATAACCTGCCCCCACCCCACACATTTCAAAGGCTTTACGTTACTGCTAATTAAAATATCACAAAATTGAAAGTGTTGCAGTAAATTAAATATCTTCCCCAAACTGGATAGACGTGTTGATGAGAGCAAATTTTGAAATAACCATGTCGTGAAATGTAATCTTTGATTGTTGTACAATTTACAATGACATCTTCACCCCAACGTTGAATAACAAGACATACCGTTATGGAGAGTGTTATCACAAAAGCTCCTTAGCCGGGAGCCCAAGAGCCTTTCATCTGTTTCTTTCGAAGGGTTCTCAAAATTCATTGACATTTGTCGAAAAGATGTCTGAATGTTAAAACAATGAAGTCAATATTTGTGTTTTTACATATGTTACGCAAGTGATGACGTCCAAACGAGGCACGCTGAGTGCTAGAGCACCAGCACTTCATCAAATACAATTGTTTATCACATGTCTCCATTTCTGTCAAACAGATCCACCTTGTTACAATATCATATTATAACCAAAGAAAGTTTACTCAAAACACTTATCTATATCTCACTAACCATCCTATAAACAACTTCCGTAATCAATTCCTTCGGACTCTCTCTATCTCAAACTTATATTCAAACACGTGTTTTATTATGCGCTCCCGATCACCCACTAAACGTTTGGCTACATTAAGAATAACAACTAAAGTTGCGACTCAGACTCAACTCATGATGCGACTCAGACTCAATTCATGATGTGAATAAAACTCAACTCATGATGCAACTCAGACTCAACTCATGATGTGACTCATACTCAACTTGAGATGTGACTCACACTGAACTCATGATGCGACTCAGACTCAACTCATGATGTGACTAATACTCAACTGATGATGTGACTCAGACTCAACTTATGAGGCGACTCAGACTCAACTCATGATGCAACTCATACTCAACTCATGATGTGACTCAGACTCAACTCATGAAATATGTCTGGGCACGACTCACATACCAAAAAATGTTAACACTAAAAATAGGAATCCTAAAAAATCTGACATATACCTCCCTTTTTAGTTGACGTTTCTACTCCCCGATTGTAATCATCAGAACAATGGCATTGTCTGGGTATGGTGTCACTGACACATCATCATACATTTACAACATGTCAACACTTAAAACAACAATCTGAAGTGAAGTTATATTCTCTTAAAGTCATCAAAATCTTTTTTTTTTTCAAATATTGGTCATAATATATTCTTAAAAATTGCTAAACCAAATCCTTAAGTCAAAACCGTTACAGTACTATAATCTTAGAATGACTGATATTCCAGGTACGGGTCAACATCACTTTACTTCTCTACGGCCTCGTTGTTGTCATGATCAATATTTGCCCTTATCCCAAACTCTCATGATATAATATTAACCTTAGACCTGAACACATAATGTAATGATCAAGCTTCTCATAAACCATATCCTTATTCTCCGTTTTGGCTGACTTGTATCCGAATGCAACGAAAATTTCACCTAATTATATGCATATCTCCAGGGAAACGATTGATATCAACAACATATGGTTGATGCCTCAAAATCGTCAATTCTGATGCCAAATATTTTTATTAACATAAACTTTTTGTTAAGCCAACAAGGAAAACTCTAGTTTTTCCACGCGGGGTTGGACTTCTTTCGGAAAAGATTTTCTGATCTATATCTATATCGTCGTCAGCAAAAGTTGACACTACAACACAAAGTCTTTTAGTGAACTTACATAAGGCGTGTTGTTCCAGCTCTGAGGACTGACGTTACGAACGTAGAAGTCTTTGAAAGTGCTGGTGACGTCAAATACTTGTATGATGACGGTGATGGTCAGGCCGATGCACACGCCGAGACCAAAGCTCTGTTTGATCATGTCGCTCTCTGGGGGGATATTGTGATAATTCAAATTTTAACAGACATAAATCATGCCATGGAAAGATATCAACCCTTTATTTATATATAAACTGACAATATTGGGTCAATATACTTTTTTTAATGAGCTCAATCTTTGGACCTGATACACCTAAGGGTAAGAAAGGACAATGTGACGAAGAGATATTGATTTAAGTAACACTTTGAAGATTATAAATTTCTGTTTGACATATTTGTGTGTGTGTGGGGGGAGGTAGTAGATCATACTTGTCTTAAGTGGTCTCAAATTTGGGACAAGATCAAATGAATGAGACTTGACCGAATGAATGTGACTAGACCATTGAGTGTCAAAGACCAATTGAATGTCATTAGGCCTACAAAAGGCAGCTAGACGAATTGACTTAGACTAGATCAATTAAATAAGGATATACCAAATGAATGATGATGGAATAATTAATTGAGACTGTAATAACTGAATGAGCCTATACTAATTGAATGAGACTGGAATAATTGAATGAGACTGGACTAATTGAAATGAGACTGGACAAATTGAAATGAGACTGGACAAATTGTCGAGATAGTCTAAGATAGTGAGGATCTAAAGGGCAGCCATTCTGTATTGTATGAAGATGTCGTTGGGGAGATTTGGTATCATGTTATTTTATAAGAAAGAAATGGATGCATTATGACTGAACTGCATTTAATCAGCATTCTATTATTAGTCAGATGATGATGAGTTGATTCGAGTACTTATATAGCTCTCATTTCAATGCGTTGTTAGCATAATAACAGCGCTCCTATGTCTCGAATGTCTTGTCAAGAAATGACACAGCACAATACAATGAGTTATTTTGATATAAGTGAAAAAGTTCATTTCTAAACAATCCAAGAAACTGTCAGATCCAACAAACATCCAAATATCCAGTAACATTATTCTGTGTAGTGTTCGGTATAAATGAATAATTGCTATGGAATACTTGGAACTCAGTTTACTAGATTTGTGAGAAATAATTCGCAGTTAACCCCTTAACTGATATTCATTGAAATATCTGATCGGGTCATAAAACTTATAATAGTAACCGTGATATCAGTGTAGGAAGAAAGGTTACAGATTTCAAAACAGTCCATAACATGCATACATTTATTTTTCCCAAATTGAAACATTTTAACACCAAGAGTATTCTAAATTGACGACAAAACTCATCTATCTTAATCCCAAATGTGACCTTACTTGAGACTGATTCTGAACTAAATTTTTACAGGCAAATCACTACTCCAATTTAAAACCAATCGCATGATCAACTTTTTATATAATATGAAAGACTTATCATCAGTGCGTCAAGAAATAATTTCAATTTGATTGTACAAGAAATTTTATATCTGATTTTATATAAACATATCACATATGAATTAATGATACAAATCAGACTTGAATTAATGACAAATAGCATACATGAAATAGTGACAGATATCATACATAAATTATTTCCAACTATCTTATTTGAACTATTGACAATTGTCTTATTTAAATTAATGAAAATATCATATTTGCATTAATGACAATATCATGCCCTGTGTGATTATTTCATATCTTCTGTTCTTGTTTTTATCCTGACTCTTACTATTATTATTCTTAACTTAGTAGTGCACTAACCATCGACATGGAAATATAGATTCACAGCTTAAATCTATAACTATAACATCATCTATTATTCGATTTAGAGACCCCGAAGAGAAGCGGGCATGGATATGAAATTTTAATAAAACGTCCCTTTAAAATGTATCTTACTTTTTTTTTACGATTAAATTTGAGATGATTCAACGCATGACGTGGCAACGTTGTCACCACAAGGAATACATTGCTATACATATGTTTAAACTATTTTTGTTGTTTACTTATTTTTTAATAACAATTGAGTAATCCGCGCCTAGTTGTTGCTTTTCAAAATAATCTCTCAGCTGATCTATTTTATTAAAGCGTCTCCTGGTTTCAAAAAGGTTGCAAACCCCCCTGCATTTACTTTGTTGAATTCGAAATCCACGTGTCAAGAAGCATCACATTTGTTCGAAAACACACAGGATAAGTATTTGGATCTGGATTCCACGACGTGTCAACTAGAAAACAAGTCGCTTAAATGCAAAGTGGGCGAAAAGTGGGGATTGCATTGCCATTAAGCGGAATACGACTGATCGTTCTTAACCGCGACACTAACTTCTAGTGACATAAAGACATCAGCTTATCACAAACTAATATTCATTATACGGATATAGGCATTTGGGGAATGGTGTTTGTGAGTACGTGATATGTCACCTCAATTAAAAACCCAACCTCCCCCACTCTCTAAAAAGTATTTTTAAAAAAACCAAAGCGCCACACGCCACCCCCCCCCACAATCTCCCCTAAAAAAAAAATAAATAAATGAAATGATAATTGTCATGTCAGGTCGCAAGTTCAATAATGCGTTGTCGTCATGTCAGTTCACAAGCGAAATATTGCGTTGTTGTCATGCCCGGTCACTGATTCAACATAGTTTGAATCTAATTCATTTGATCAAACTATTTGATAAACAAATCATTTTGAGAACCGCCCTTCGTACCCATCAATTTTAATTTCAAGCTCATCGCACCGGCCTGGCTGTAAATGTCCAAACTCCCTTTTCAATCTACAGCGGGGTTACATTTTTATTACTTTTATAAAGCCCCCTCCCATCCCTTCCCCAACCCCTTTTTCAGAACTGTGG